CTATTCTCTTGTCTCTCTCCTCAACAAGTAACCCCACTTTATACTTCCTGTTAACCACAACTGTCATTTCACTCTGCTGATAGTGGCATTGCTGAGAAGGATGTTCTAAAGCAAAACACAGTGCCACTGCTTTATGAGTGAGTGAGGGACAAGTGCATCATTACTATTAAGGAAGCAGACCCTAAGGAATGCAAAACCACTATCCCGAGTCTTCAGCACAACTCGAATAGTTACCCACCTCCAACTCACTGGTTTCAAACAATAATCATTTGCTATTTTTCATGAGTTCGGTCCATTGGGTGGATCTGTTGCTCTGGGCTGTGTTGACTCATGCAGCTATCATCGGTTGGGATCTTGAGATAATGCAGCTTTTCTCTCATCTCCTTCTACCAGAAAGCACAGGAATCCAAGAGAGAAAGGAGAGGCTCCCAAGTGCTTTCTTGAGACTTCACTTCTTATCCTGGTGAGGAAAACAAATTATATGACTGGACCCAGATGCAGAGCAGAGAAGAATGCAAGAGGCAGAGCCAAACCCAACCCCATTAATTTGGGCTATAAAGGAAACCGACACACTACAAAGGAAACACCAGGAATAGGTGCCTCTAAACCACAGTTCCTAGGAACATCCCCCCCACTTCTCCACAGCTTGCTCACCAAGGAGATAGTAGCCACAGGGCACAAGCAAACCTCTCAGAATCCACCTATGCTTCCCCAGTTTCTCTCGTGAGAGGACATGATGTCTTCCTCTCTCCTCAACGTAAACTGTTCCACTTGAACTTTGGCTGCGGCTTCACCAATCGCCCCTCTCTTCTCTAGTTTTCCTCAGAATGACCTCTTTTCCCTCATCCCAGGTACTTATCTCTTCTTTCTACTCCAGAGCTCCCCATTGTGGGTTGCTGCGTTGGGGCTCTGTGCAGGTACTACCATCCTAAGGTCAGCAACTACGATCACACACACAAGGTCCTCCCAAGATTGGGCCTACTCATATTCCCTCACGGAGGGGACATGGGGCTCACGGACTCACAAGGCACAGCATGAGGGGCTCTCCAGGTGGTAGCACTGAGGGTCTTACAAGTAGCAAGAAGCCCCACCCTTCCCTGAGAGCGTACAAGCAGCTAACAGTTGTTGACAAGGAAACAGACGTCTCTTTAACAAACGTGTGCTTCTATAATTAGCTCCTCACCTGTGCCCTTGAAAGTAACCCCTGGTATACCCAGCAGTATTTGGATGAAACCAATTTTGGGGGGCTGTTGGTGGTTCCATGCCTGTGGTGAATAGATGCTTGTTTGCATCTTCCCAGAAGAAATTGATCCAATATCCCTTTCAGCCTTTCTCCAGTTTTCTCTTCCCTTTTGTTAACACTCAACAAACCGCTTTCTCCCTCTTGAAAAGGTTCTTGCTATGAGTCTCTAGGGATCAGGTTGCAATCTGTGGTTTTGGGGAGCATTTCTGGGTTAACATATTAATTACAGTGGTCAAGGACACACTTTGGCAAGGGATCCCTAAGTCTTGACAGCACTACTCAAGCAGAGCTATTTTTCATGAAGGTCCTATCCACATTACAGTTGCTTACTGGTCTTTTGTGGACATGGAGGGTCCTAGGATAATTCTGCCTTTGGCATCACCATTCCCTAGGGACTCGTGGTGGGTTGGTCCTCCACATCTGAAAATGAGTAAAGAGCTTATGCATTGTTGGAAGTGGACAAGAGGGCAGCAAAATAAATTACATCTGCCTGGATTTCATCAGCTATAGCCAGCCTGTAAGGGGGATAAGATGGATCGTATCTGCTTGTCTTTTGGATAAAGGGAAACACTAAGCATCTAGTCCTTCTTTACTAAGGCTCCTCAACCTTTTTCGTTGTACAGCCTCAATGACATCATTGTCTGGCTCTGACTTTTGGACTTAGTCTATTTTATTTTATTTTTTTTTAACAACAAAACAACACACTGGGTAATTTGTAAAGAAAAAGACATATTTCTCAGTGTGCTGCTGGAGGCTAGGGAGGTCTAATATCAAGGTTCTGGCATGTTTCCAAAGCCTTCATGTACCACCATCCCTTGGCAGAAAGGCAAAGCGAGTGTGACCGATATAAAGAGAGAACTTGAAGCTTCCAATCTTTTCATAATGAACATTCACCCATTCATGAAGGCAGAGTTCTCATAGCCTCATTGTGCTGTAGCTATTTCTATCTTCAAGTCCTTGTTGCTTTTCAGGCTTGCTCATAGTTGCTTTTTGGCTATCTGTCTCTTTAAATGTTGGCATTCCTCAGCATTTTCTTCTTGATTCATTTCTCTTCCTGCCACACATTCACCCCAAAAGACTTGCTAGACCCCAGAGCCCCTCTCTCCACACGTTGGATCACCTCCCAAATGTTAAACTTTATCCCTATCCTGCAGGGCCCATACTACCAATAGCATTGTTTCTGACTCATCAAACCAACCAACCAACCAACAAAAAAGCAGAAGCAACCTTCCCAATCCCTTAGTCTGCCGTAATTATGGGAGCCAGCCTGAACGTTGTCGGATGATTGATGGAATCCCTCACCTCTATTTACAAAATGCCAGGAGACAGCCCTGTCACAGCCCTGTTCTGTCAGTGCCCTAAGTCTCCGTCCGAAACTACTAACTGTCCTATGGAGAGTGGGCAACTTGCCCTGCTTCTGTCACCACCCAATCATAGACTCAACTTTTGCAACGTTCATCCATCCCTTCTATTTCTTTCTTCATGTCACCAACTTTTATTAAATCCCCTATCATTTTGTATCTAGATTTCTCCAGCCACGGTGAATACCTTGGTTGACTCAAACATGAATCTTGACTCGGATCTTCCTTGTTATTGTCCACTAAAGAAAAGAGAAGGCCTGCTTTTATCTTCATGTCCACAAAGAAACAGTCAGGTGACAATCCAGCACGGCACCTAGGCTCATGAAGAGGGAGACAGTCAAACTAACAGGGTAAGAGAAAAACTGTGAATCCTTGTTTGGAATTTAGCTTAGCCTCGGGCTACGTATGTCTCTGAACTACCTCTGCAACACTGGGAGGTACAATAGAACCGACCTAACGGTAATGCGAAGATGCTATAAATGAGCTCATTTATATGAGTAAAGTGTTTGCTACCATGCCTGGCTGCAAACACAGGGAAGAGACGAAGGATCCTCCGTAGGGATGACAGTGACAGCCTAATGTCTCTTCCACACTCATCTCCGTAGTCACAACTCCACAGTTCCCTTCAAGTAGACATTTTGGAAGACTCAGTTCTCGGAAGGCTTCCAGAAGGTTCTATGTCACATAGTTCCTCAAGTGTGAAGTCCTTTCTGAGACATGGCTTTTCTCTTGCCACCAGGCTGAGAGTTCCTACAAGGCAAGGGCTAGATCTTCCCTACACATTCCTAGGGCCACTGCCGTGCTTAAAACACACGGATGTTCAATGAAGGTCAGTTGGCTAAATCAATAAGTGAACGTATATTGATGATATGTATCAGCCTTGCAAATATTTTTGCTCATATTACCATTGCGATAAAACTAACACATCATGTTAGAAAGCTATTTCAACTTTATGAATTTGGCTATTGAAGGTGATCTTTGGAAAGGGATCTTTACAAAGTCTTGTATATATCTGGTGTCAGTAAAGTATACAGTAACTGACTCACCAGAAGATCAATTAATAGAACAGTGACAAACTAGTGCTGTGGGGTATGTGTGTGTGTGTGTGTGTGTGTGTGTGTTGTGTATCTGCATCCCATGACATTTTTGTGGAAATCAGAAGACAAAGTTTGGAAGTCAGTTCTCTCCTACCACGTGGGGTTCAGAGTTCGAACTTAGGTCATCACGCTTGATGGCAGGGCCTTTACCCACCGAATCAAAAGATGGCCGCCAAAAGATGAAATCTTAAAAGGAAAATCAGCTAGGCAACTCAAGATAGGCTTTTAAGTAAATTGAAACCAAGCCCAAATTATTTTTAGGGAAAGGAATAAAACCATACATGTGACTCCAAACTTTGCAGAAACTCTAATAAAGTCTTGTCCCAAATAAATCCTCTAAATTAGGGAAAGACAGTAAGTGTTAATTGAAGTCACAGCTTTAACACCCGGTTGATAGTTTCCAAAATGAGAGGATTTTAAAGCCTTGTAGTCAAAAGGCCTCCCCCATCTCTCTTTCTCTCCCCGCTCACTCTCTCTCTCTCTCTCACCACATATATTTTTTAATCTGGCCAGTCTCCACAAACTGTTAAACAAAAATATTTAAGCAAAAAAAAAAAAAAAAAAAAAAAAAAGAGCAATAGAGTTCTAAATAATGCAATATTCTGTTTCTCTCTTTAAACAAGTACCTAAGCAGCATTGGTTAGGGAATAAGATATTTTAAAACAAGATTTTAGTTTTAGTTAAATGTCCCTCTGTGGGTTTGTGCACTTCCGTGTAGGTGCCTGTGGAGGCCGGAAGAGGGCATCCAGTCCCCTGGAGTGGGAGTTACAATGGTTTGTGACCTGGGTGCTGGGAACCGAACTCAGGCCGTCTGTTCAGAGAGTACTACTCACTGTTAACCACCACCTTCAGCCCAAAGCTTTGCTTCTTTAGATCAAAACTGATTATGTCATCTCTTCTAAACGGAAGGTGTGGCCACCTCTCTTCAGAATCCTTAAAACGGACCTTATTAATAAGATCTTACTAATAAGATTAATAAGGTAACTTGAGATGAATCGCTGGAAACGAGTTTTGCAAAAGATTCAAGAAATATACAATTTCTTTCTTCTTAAAACAGAGGTGCCTATACAACCTGTCCCTAATGACAACTGCCCTTCAGCAACCCAGTTCCAGGAGGGGAAATTCCAATAACCAATACCCGAGAGCCCAGGGCTCCGCACCAGGGTCAAGGCTTGGCAGGGAGAGTGGTAGCGCCCCTATCCCGTCCCCTCCACGCCCACCTCCTCAGCCAGAGTCCCCTCCCCTTGCCTGAGCCGGACTCTCATTGCCTTCATTGTTGGCCGCATCTGTCACTTTGTGGGCAGGATGACATGAATGGATGGCCCGGACACACCTTCCGTCCCAGTCCTGAAAACCCCTTCGGGATCTGCAGACAGCTCCTGGACGCTGCCAGAGGAGCCGCTGAGGGCCAGGGACGCACCCCACCCCGCCGCCCAGATCCTGCCCGCTCCGCTCCGCGTGCCTGTCCCGGCGCACTCGCTCCCTCCCCGCGGCTCCCGGGCAGCGGGCACGCACCATGCTGCCCAGCTCTGTGGCGGCCCAGGCCGGAACCTACTGGGATGTGGTGGCATCCTCGGCACTCCTCGGCCTCCCCGCGCCGGGCTTTGGCAGCTTGGGCAAGAGTTTCCTGATCGAGAACTTGCTGCGCGCGGGGGCCGGGCCCACGCACGCGCCCCCGCCCCCGCGCCCGGCGCCGGGTCCCGAGTGTCCGCCGCTGCGGCCGCTGCCTGCCAGCCCGGTGCCGCTCAAGCTGTGCCCGGCAGGGCCCTACGGTGTGCGCTGGGCCTTCCAGATGGCCCCTGGCCGGGCTCCAGGGGAGCGAGACAGTGCCTACCAGCCCTCAGCCCCAGGTGAGCTTTGGTGGAGGGGAACCTCGGCTCAGGAAAGCCTCAATTCAGGGCAAACTCAGCTCAGGGGAGCCTCGATCCGGGGACGCCTCAGTCCAGGGAACCTCTGTCCAGGGCAGCCCTGGTTCCAGGTGACCCTCAGCCCCTGGAGAGTCCGGCTGCCCCAGCACCAACCACAGTCGCCACGGGTGAGCTGCGCACAGCGCGAGTGCTTGCCCCAACGGCCCAAGGCTGCAGGCATTGGACAAATGATATTTGTGGACCTAGGATTCCTTTCCTTTCTCCACCTCATCCCGCCCTCATCCTTCCTGGCCTCCTCCTTCAACAGGTGGCTGGGCTACCAGCGTGGTTTGATCTCAGGGGGAGTCTGGGGGTTCAGCCTTTCTAGCTGACTGGGGCCTGTCCCGTGTCATCTCTGGAAAGTCATTGGCAGGGTAGGGCTGCAGGCTTAGCGGCCCTGAGACCTCGCTATTGCCTCGGTCTGGGTCTGATGGTTTGAAAAGAGTTGCGCAAACTTTGGTTTTCACAGTTTGGATCTCTTGAGGTGTTAAGAACTCAAGACAGACGCTCGCCTGGTGCTGAGCTAGCTGGTGCAGTCAGGTTGGAAACTAAAGTAGGAAGTTCTCCTATAAACAGGAATTTACCGAAAGAAGTACACTTTGGGTTTATTTATATTTTTACCGAAGAAAACCTAACTACTAGTGGAACTGGGAGGAAGGCTTCGGGCAGCTGAGATAAATTAATTCAAAGCTGAAACCAGCCATTAACATAGTTGCCAAGCAATTGGGAAACCGAGATCCAGTTGGATTAATTTTTTTTTTTTAAGCTGCGTCCTTATACGATCTTAACTCATTCTTTTAATCCCGGTGGGTTTGTCGGGAATGACTAACACGCCATTCAAGCAGTTTCCATTGTCCCCGCAAACTGCCAGATCAAATTTATTGCTAATGGCTTTATAGAATTTAGCGTGTTTAGAACCTGTCCTGGTCTTTCACTTGGAATGGCCACTAACAGAATGGAACAAATGAAATTATTAACACCGGTCTCATTCACAGAGTGTAAAGCCTAAACACTGGGAAAGCCTTTTGCACCCTGCGAGAAGAGCAGGCTCAAGTGAAGGCAAGGTCTACGTGCCTTGGGAATGCTTGCATGGTTGTTTTTGAAACAGAATGAAATTAGAAATTTGTGAGATAGGTCCATGGGACCACAAATAAGTAAATACTGTCACACAAATAACATTTTTTTTTTCAAGATAATTTGGTGATTTGCATGAGTTGCTGGTTTGGAATTGTGTTCACAGAAGTTATTTTTAAATGAATTCTTAAGTTGCTGTTGATTGACTTTCAGGGGTGCAAAATTACTTAGTTGTAACCTTTGCTGACTTTTCAGCGGTTAAACTAAGTGTGGATTAACATGGATAGCTCAGTAACCGGTAAAGTAATTTCATATGCATATTCATTTCACTCTAAATATTGTAATTAATGGAGAAAGAGTTTCCAACATTATTTATTTTACAAGAACATATTCACTCTGGTATACTTACTGAAGTATTCAAATAAAAACTGACTTTATAAGGAATTAAGAGGGCATAATTCGAAATACTTTACAATAGTTTAGATGTATGTTTTACCGAATATTTTATTCAGTCCTCACCGAGGATTCCATTTTTCCATTTATTCAAACCTCACTGAGGTTAATTTTAATCTGAACAAGGAAACCTTTGTTTCAAATGCATTTCTGTGAAGAAATCACCCATGGACACACCCCCCCACACACACACGCTACCCTTCCCCACCCCGCCCTGGTAAATCCATGGGCACAGATATGCTGTTTAAAACCAGGTTTACACTCATTTGTGTTTGTAGTTTAGGAGAGCTCACAGCTTTCTGAACATGGCCTCCATTTTAAGCGGCGCTGTTCTGTTTTAGTACACGAAGGAGCCCTTTCATCCGAGGTTGTGAGGTTGTGACAGGAGCTCCAGGGATAATCTGGAGATCAGGTGACCGGGTGTGGCTGCTCTCACTCTGCCAGCTCAGGGCTGAGCTTTCAGTCAATGCTGTACCACGGTACACCTCACTTAGAAGAGCCAGTCCCCTCTTCCAAAGATCGCAGTAGATCCCTTTTGGAAATAACCAGTGAGGAATCATTAGGTATGTGCTTTTGTTTTTCGGTTTGGTTTTGGTCTGCGGTGGAGATTGAATTGGTGCCTTATTCATGGTAGGCAAGCACCTACTCTTGACTCCCACTTGAAACCCCTAGGAATAAATTCTGAGTCTTTACTTTAGACATTGACTTGGGAAAGAATAATAAAATATGATTTAAATAATTTTAACAAATTGGCTACACTTGTTTTTGCCGACCTTAATTTGTTGACCAGCGAGAATTTGCCACAGTCACATTATAGAGATCATGCGGTCCAAAACTGATGATCTGGACATCTCTTTGCACCTTCCCTTCATTACCTTAGTTACATATGTACTGTTAATCACACCACGCATCTCATTTCCTCAGCGAAGCTTGAGGTCTGACAGGTGTCCAGCTGTTTTGGGTGATTGGCACAGTCACTGAGCAAGCAGTGCACTCTCAGCTACCATTTTCACAATCCTCATGGTAGGCCAGAAGGTAGCTGTTGGCATGGCGATTGTTCTTTTTTTTTAATAATAAAATTATTTCCCTTGCTAATTTTGTTCTTGTCCTAGGAGCCCCTTTAAATGTGTGCAGACTCCCAAGAGAGAAAAATAAAACTGCTCCCAATCTTTAGTCTGTTACCTTGGCTTAGTCTTGCTTCAACTATGAGAAAATAACAAGGGATAATGAGACCTCATAGAGTCCAACCAAGGGAATGAATCGGGGAGGAAGTCTAGCTGAGAAAGGGCTCTAGCTCCCCAGGTCAAGAGTGAAGTAGAGCTTCATTGCTTAGTCCCCGAGAATCAGCAACTTTGAATACTTGGGGGAAAGAGGCTCTGAGCAATATACTACCAAACAGCTGACGTTTAAAATTGCCGACACCAAAGGGCATTTCTGAAGGCTCGAGGAAGATGCATTTACTGACAGCAGGTAATGAATGGAGTCACTTCCACGTTTTATCAGAGAGAGAGAGAGATGTCATCGACCCATTGTAGTTTACGAGTGGGGAGTCAGGAAACTTTGCAAGCGAAATTCTAAGTATTAAAGGTAATACTCCCAAAGCTTGTTTTGTTTTGGTTTTTGAAGTAAAGGTTTATTTGGCTTACTCTCCCAAAGGGACAAGAGGAGTTCATCTTGGTGGGCAGACAAGCAGTAGGAGGCATGGTGACAGAGAAGGAAGCTGAAAGATCACATTTCAACCCCACACAAAGCAGAGGAAGCACACTGAAAATAGGGCAAGGTTATGACTTCCCAACGCCACTCACAGTCTCCCCAGTGATGTGCTTCCTCCAGCAAGGATGCACCTTCTAAGTCCCCCAAGCAGCACCAGCGACCGGGGACCAAGTACTCAAACATCTGAGCCTACACAGGGACATCTCTCTGATATAACATTAAACATTGTCCACTCCTTTAAAATGATGAAAAAGCACATCTTTCTGTTTCCCGATACCTAGTACCTCATGCTCACATCAGCACACCCACTCAGCTATTCTACCCATCTTACAGATGAGACAGTTAGGCTCATAAGGCTTTTCAGGTTGAATTAACAACTCTGATGGCAAAGTGTTGAGAACAATTCAGAAAAATCTAACCATGTCATCGGTTTTGCCTCTTGCATTCATATCATCAATATCCTCACCATTTGAAAAACACTGTGCGTATCAGAATGTTTATGTCTTTTTAAATTTAAAAGAGCGGTCTTGAAATTTACAAAAGATGAATTTTTCTTAGTTATGAGACTGCTATGTGAATTTTTCTGTTTTGTCCGATCAGTTCTCTCTCTTCAAATTAAGTTTAACAAACAACATTTAATGACATTTGTTTAAAAATATTTAGAAAGCATTTGATATAAAAGTACTTTGCTATTTATTAAATCCATTTGTGTGCATTTGAAAGTATTAGAAAACAAATTTTTATCCTGGAAAAGTGAGTTAAACATTCTTTAAGTTGTCTTAACTTATATGTTGTGTAGTCCAGAAAAGCAAGATTGCTTTTTTTTTTTCTCTCTCATTCATCTGGAATTGCTTTTTATCATCAACATTCAACATGTTGTCTGACTGTCTCATTTATCTTTCTGTCTAGAGAATTGTCAGCCTACTAATTTTTAACTCTGTTTTACCTGTCTTGCATTTAGAATGGCATTTTATTCTCCCTTCATTGAGATACACCGACACTGTGGCTCTAGAAAACTGCTTTAAGCACTTGCTAAGGGATAGTTTGGAAGTCTTTAAAGTCTGACTCCAACCACAGCATGTCAGGCTTATTGATAAAGTATTCTCAAGCTTTGTTTTTGGCTGACTGAAACCTTGGAACTGGCCATGTTAAGATGCTGACCAGAACCAGGACAGCAAGAGCATAGGATTCGGAATGAGACAGTGACAGCCTCATTAGAGCAGATCTTTGTTCCAGCCTTTACCATCTTTTGCTGGGAATAACAAAACCAGGTTCCTAATATAGCCACATATTTTTGTAACCCACTTAGCACATCTTTGTAGGTAACATATACATGACATACATAACTCATGACAATTTCTGAGCACAGCCCCCAAGTTAATCACCACCTTTAGGTTGAAGGAGCAGTCCTTATCATGAGTAGCATTCATGGACCCTTTACTTTAGTGCTGACAGAGAAAGCCATCCGTCTTATACAATAGCATCTGATTTGGAAACAGCTCATGTATGTTTGAGATATCTCCAACTTCAGCAGCTCCTCACCTTCCATCAGTGAATACGTTCTCCTTCACTCTGACAATGGGATATGAGTGGAAATGAGTATGGAGCCAGAGCAGCGATAAATGCAGAAGACAGTTTCTAGTTCTTCTGTGTGGTTTCTACTTTAATGACTTCAGAGGTTAAGAGGTACAATGGCTTGAATA